TATTTAGTAAACAACCGATTTCATATAAAACAAAATGTAATACACTGTACATATATTAATTCTCTATTTTTTTTCTCTTTTCATCTTTAATATGTATTAGGCTGCGGTTGTACGTATTTATTTTGTACATACATATTCAGTTTAATTAATTTGCGATTGCTACGCCGTTCGCAATTCGATTTCAGAGGACATTGGTTACGCGTGCGTTCGCATTGATTGTGTTTCGTGGATGTAATATATTTGGAAATTTGGCAAATTTAATTAGTAGCGGAAATATTATTAACGCGACCATTTCGGTTTTATATTTTAATTGAGAACTACATTAATGTATCTCCTGCCGTATACGTTAATTAAATATTACAGAATTCAATTAAAAGCGTACATTTTTTTTTCCAAATTTATTTTCGCCTGTAACCACGCGTTCATTACGATTTTTTTGTAATAAATCGAGCTTAAATTAATTCTAGCAATGTATTCAATCAGTTTAATTATTTGTACATTTTTTACTGTGATTAAAAAAAATCAATCTTTCAAATTATACAATTATTTTTCAAAATTGAATTTTTCATGATTATTGTACTTATTTTTTTTTTTCACGAAAATTCTGTAAAAATTCAATTTAAGATGGTTAAGTAAATAAATAATAATGAAATAATTACAATATTTGATTATATAAGACAAATATCGTGTGGGTCAGTCTGATCCATCCGTGGTACTTATGGGTTAAAGTGGATAAGTAAATAACTAGAAATTTAAATTATTAAATCATATTTATACTAAACTAATGTTTACAGTATTGAGAATATTTCTAACAATTGCTATTTTTTATTAGTATTAGAGATTGAAGGAATATGGAATACTTTGATATATAGAGAATCTTCTACAAAAGGGTTTCATATTTGGAGTTCAAGCAGAAGGATCCCATTGAAATTGTGCAAAATTTGCAAAATTCGCTTATAAACACTTTTGTGTCAAACACCTTGCACTTGCTAACTACATGCAAAAAGGGATTTATATGCGGGACGTGCCTACTACTACTACTTCCGAGCCTTGTATTCCGTTATACTTCATTATGCCACATGAATATTGATAGTTCTCAAGTGTAAAATATTCATTGAGATTACAAAAAGTATCATCCATTAATTAGTTTCCTGCATTATATAAATATAATAATCATAGCATATTCATTATTATTATCTATTTTTTTTCTAATGTAATATAGTTATTTTAATATTATAATAAACGCGCTTTAATATTTTTCACATTCTAATTAGTGATATATTAAAAAAAATGTCATAATTAACAATCATTTTTAGTAAATATTCCAAGACTAAAATATTAATTGAGATTACAATTGTTTAACACTCCGTTACTCGCGCGGCGTCTGTGAATCGCCAGTGGGTACAAAACATTCCTAGCTTTTAAAACTGGAAAGGTAAAGCAATACGATTTGTAAAAGCACCATTTTATAGTAATGCGTTGAAGGATTAGCAGCAAAATCAGCCTATCAAACGCAAGCCGAGTACTGATTTTATAATATTTTACAAAACAATTTAATAGAGTTTATCAGACGCCACGCGAGTAACGAGTTAATAATTAAATGATAGATGATGTAAAAAAAATGTTTAATATTAATTTTCAGTGAATTTTCAACAGATTTAAGGACGTAAATCATGAATTAATTCGTTATTAACTGTGAAACATTTGATTGAATTATAATGATATATCGGAGGAAAATAAATTTCAGAAAATTCGACGGACATTAATTCCGGAATCGGTACGTGCGTCGCTCATCAATTTCATTGAATTTTAACCATGAAATAATGGCCGGTCTAAAAGGTTTACGTTAACATTAATATGTCAATATCAATTGTTACATAAATTTTCGCGTACTTTCGGCGCGCCGATAAATCGCTATATTTAATAATATGTAATTCAGTTAGGGACTTTCATTAAATTTGTATACATGAATTTAACTAAACGCGGACGCGCTGTTTCCGTGTGTGCACAATAGAAAATATGATTACTTTTATATGGAAAATATTGAATTGGATACATTGTTTTGCAACATTTTATAAAATTTGTTTGCTTCATTTCATTTCAAGCTAGATGTAAGTCTTATTGTATGACAAAACTTATTTACGAAGACATATTGTATCCAATATGGAATTATTTAAGACAATTCTGAGGTTCAACAAGGAAACTATATTGAAATACTTCAGCGAATTTCAATTGAAAACGCTGCGAATAATCATTGATCTACTACAACATGTTCCAAATTGATATACTTATTTCAAAACAAATTATCTTATACAAAATATCATTTTAAAAAAAATGTAATTTTTATTTAATAAGTTAATTTATGCCTCAATCTGAACAAATAACAAAATATGTTATAAATTACATGAAATACTAATTGTATTAAAATAAATGTAAATGGTTTTTGTGAGATAAGTATTAGTAGGTATTAGCCACGTTTTATCCTCAGGATAAGAAGAAAAAGCATATGGCTGAAGTATAAGATAACATTGGAATTTGCACGACAATACCGTTTCTGGTTGCATCGTCTTCATTGTCCAGTCTGCTCTTTTGTGCTGTTATCTTGTCGCTACTTCGAACTTCCATGTCTACTTGCATACGACAGGTTTCTCATTGACACAAGAAACTAACCAATAGGACGCCTTCATGTTGTTTTTAGCTTAGCTCTCTTGTTTGATAGTAAACAGCAGTTCAAAACTGATTCCATATTACAATATCAATATCATTAATAATATTATTACATATTATGTAATAAAAAAAAACAACAAACTTTTGGATATTATATTGAAATTTAGAGTTAAATATATTAGGATTGTTGCATTAATAATTTTAAATATTTTTTATATACCAAAAAAAAACTTTAAATATTATTTTCTATTAACATATTAAATTTTGTAACTTAAATTTATACATCTGATAAATATGTGTATTGTGTAGTTGTAGCATAATAAATTTAAATTTCATGTCAAATTAGGTAAGAAATCAGTTAGACTTAAAGTATGAAATTAATCTTGAAATTGATAAATTTGCTGTAGGAAATCTGTGGATGAAGCTCGCCGAAAGTTAACCTGATGATGGGAATGCGAAGCGTTAGTGTGTGATAGCATACATAATCTGGGTTCAAGATAATGTACCGAGCAAGTGAACTACATTCTGGCAAACGTCAGGAGATCATATATTAAGTTTGTTTCATCGTCGACTTGTGTATGTGTGTGGAAACGTTACTCTATATAGAGTTGTCTATATGGAGTGTTGCTGAGGAAAGAGAGAATACTAGGATGGGACGGGACGGGTTGAAGTGAGCGCAGTTGTTATTTCGTCGGCGTATTGCGTCGCGACGCTTTTCTCTTCATTTTCACGAGCGCTTCATGCAAATGTATGCGCGCCGTAACTACCACAATGCTTTATGTTCGCTCTCCAAATATCACCTAGGTCCCACTTCCAGAGCCCTTCTATCTTCAGACAGAGATGAATAGGCACGTCGTTATCTATTTTCGGGCCCTGCTCACCTCACAGTCTAGTACCATTAATATGGTTAGATGTGCCTATGCATCTTTATTACAGTCGTTTTTAGGCATATCGAAAGCGCGACCGCAGGCTATGCCTTCCGGAAGGTTCATTGGTTGGTTGGTCTCGATGCTGCTGTCTCGGGGGACTCGAAGCTAACCACAAGAGCAACAAATATTGCTATGTGCACAAACCGCCGCAGCTGTGCCGTAAATACATGTGAGTGGTGTGTATTGTCTACACGGATTGTGTTTGAGTTTGGGCGAAACTGCTACACGCCAGTTGCTCTGTTCTTCTAGCGTTCTCCAATGTTTGAACTGAACATCATTGCTTGCCTCCTTTTGGTGCCGCCACCACCACTATCGTCCCCTCGCTTTCATCCTGCTGAACGCCCGACGCCATTCGGTGTGCAGCTGCGACACCCCTCTGGCTCCATAAGCCAAACCCAAATCCCTTGTTCTCCAACTTGTTTGTTAATTATCGGCATTATCATTATCGACCCTTTTTTGCATAATCACCTCCGTTCTAACAACGGAATTCCCCAATGGACTTCAAAAATCGTTGTTATTTATCTTTCAAACTTCTATTCATAAATATACTTCTTAAATCCGCATACATCTAAAGTACAAAATATTTCCTAATGAAACTAACTTTGTTTAAAAACTATATTATTAGCTAAATTACATAATTATCGAAAAAATATCTTAAATTTTCTAAAACTTCATCTGATTTATATAAGAATTTCTTGTAGAATATCTAAATATTCAATTATATTCAATGAATATAAACTATTTTGATATGAAAGTAATAAAATATAGTTAGATTCTGTTAGGATGAAGCAAAGTTGAATTTAAGTAGATTTAAATGGAATTGGGAATATTGATTCGAGCAATGCACGAAATGAAAAATAGGTGATTACATAAACAACGGTATTGCGAGTGCAGGCTCTAAATATGAATGCACGTCGCGTTGGAAAGATGCCAAATTGCCTTTTGAAAACCCATCGAAATTTTAGCGAAATAAATTACCCCCCCATATATCCACTACTAAAAATTTACTTGCAATTCCTTCCAGTTAACGATCACCTATTAATTATTGGTAACATTCGTTATGTAAGATAATTATATGGAAAGATAATTCATATTAGTTTGAATTATACAAACAAGATTTATTGCAACAATTATGCAATCACAGCGTGGAATTTTACATACTTTTATGCAAACAAAATATTGCCCAAATTAATAATATTTGTTACTTATTATAATTAAATGTATAATTAAAGACACAAAAGAAAGTTTGATTTTTTTTATAATTTATTGCAAGTGTCATTAATAATTGCAATGAGTTAATGAACTTAAGGTCTTTAGGTTCGTGAATTAAATAAAATTGAAGTGTAAGGAATTAAAGAAATCAGAGGAGTAAAAGCAATCACGTGTAAGGATAATGGTTCTTACCTGTGCAATAAGGTGGTTCATCCGAGAGATCGCCACAATCATCGAGTCCGTCGCAGTAAGCATTTAGACGGACGCAACGACCGTTACGACATGGAAACTCGCTTATCCTGCAAGCAGGACCTGGACTGGCGTTCTGCAGTACGCCCGCTATCAGCAGGAAACTCCACCAAACGATCAGCATCCTGGAAACAGATAAGAAAGAAAACAATTACAAAAAAAGCACACGAACCCATTAAATCCTTCATGGAATTAATTTCAGAACACACAACTATTATTAGTAATCTCCTCCTCTGACTCTCACCCTACTTTAATTAATATTGTTTTCCTGAGCCTCATAAGCTTTCGGAATCGAGATTAAGCTCTCCACTAAAGCCACGGTTAAGTTATTTAGAGGGAAACTAATTACTAAAATTAGAATTATAATTCCACCTCAGCTTTTTGCAAAACGCCGATCCCCTAGTAATTTGATCGCAAACAACGATAGCAAAGATCGCGATTTCCACTGAAACTCCTTTTTTTTATGATTATTATTGTTATCGTCGTGCTGGAAGCAAAAGAGGAAATATAAAACATTCGCATATTTCCTATTTGCTGCTCGTAAAATGAAACAAAAGTTTTATGCATTCTGGGCAAAGTTGTCGGCCCCCAGGATCCTGTTTATTTTCAGTTTCCCTCTGTCGTTCTTCCCCCAATTTTTGTGTGCTATTACCAAGAGATTCCGCTTCGAAGATATCTCTCGCGCTTTGCTCCTATTTTTTGGAGCTTGCGTTTAGCTGAAAATCAATAATCCTTGCAAACATATTCCTCCGTGAGTTGTGTGAGGATCACGGAGGACGACTCTACAATACAGGTGATTTAATCTTGTAAATCCGTCCAAAACGGAAAAGAGACAGATCAAATTAAGTAGCGCTTATAAATTAGACGCAATGAAAGTTTTAAAATCTTAAGTTGAGCTTTGCGATAGGAACACACACAAAAAAAAACAAAACTTTTAAATCCTTAAAAATCGCAATTTAGATTTAGCTTATTTATGTTAAACTTTTTCCGCCTGACAAATTGTTATTACGTTCTATTTATAACACTTTTTCTCTTTTTGTCCTTATCCTAAACAAATTCAGAACATTAAGTCATTATGCTAGTTAATCTTTGTTTTCACTAATATTTCTTACCAGAAAATCTTAAGAAATTTATGAAAATCTTAAATTTTCATAACAAAACTTTTGCATAATCCTACTAATTCACATTAGCATACTAGCAAACATATAAACGTTCTTCAGGTTTGTATCTGCTTTAGTCCTTCCCAATCGTTTGTTTTTCCTAAATCTATTCATTTTTGACAAATTTGACAAATGACGGAAATAAGTGAAAATATACAAAAACAGTAATTGAGAACAACTTAATTAATTATGTCGATTTCTATCAAAGGTTGTCTTCAATGAATTGATGATCGCAATACGATTGGTGTGTTTTCTTTGATTTGTACTTGATTTCTGGATTCTGGCTCTTCGTTTATTCTATTTGCCAGTAGATATTTCACTCCGGAAGCAATAAATACTAAAGAGATTTAGTGTCGTCCCGTTTTTCGCGAGACTTGTCCCTTTACGAGGCCGTTAAGGCCATTTATACGAACCATCCGAACTGACGGAAAAGTCGCGAAGACATAATTTATAAGGACGATGCGGAAGAGAGAATGGGAGAGAAAGATGGGCGATTTGCATTTTCTAATTGCGAACATCATAAGCAAGTGGCGTCACGAAAAGAACTCGCTGTGTGGATGGGACAATATGGCACACATTCGTTATCCTGGACCATTGCAGGACAATAAAGAAAGATTTATTTAATGAACGTAATCAAATTTATCTCCCCCTTTTGCATATACATAAATATACAAGAGAGGCGGAAAAGTAACGAGGATAAGTTCTTCTCGTTTTTTTAAACTCCCATGTTTCTATTTCAACTTCGTTTTATTAATATTATGTTTTATTTTTAGAACATTTTATTTGTGCTATAAATACTTATAAAAGTACGATTTAGTTGTTCTTCTATGGATCTATAGTATATTCGAGCGTTTTGTAGTAAAGCAAAATTTCCTGTTTTTTTTATGATTTATTTTATAGCAGCTTTCAAATTATGCATCGTAAAGTTTAATGTACCATATTCCGAGCTCAAATAATATTTGAGAGCATATTTAGTATAAAGCCTATGTTACTACAACAATACCATTGAACATTGATATAAAAATACTGTTTAAAGAAGTATTTCATAAACGATTGGAACTTACTTTCTGGATATGAGCAATATGACGTAGCAATAGAAGTATTGAAGTATATCAATAACTCATATAGTTCGGGTTATAGCGTTCTACAATATCCTAATAACCAGAATATTTGATGAGTTAAAAGTCTTTTGTACATAAAATTATCCTTTGTTCCAGATAAAAATAATGATAAGTAATTATTTAGAAATTTATAAAATATACATTGAACTATGCTATGTTGATCAATAACAACATCATGTTGGATCTAATTGAAATGTTTACTCGATCCTTGAACGCAGGGAATGACGGTCTTCACAACAGTTCAGTGACTGCAAGTCCTGACAAATCGCTAAATCTCATTTCGCGCCTGACAATGTCCTGTTGAGTGACAAGCAAACAAGTCCCACTTATAGCTCAAATTACACTACACGTGACTTACTGAATTTATAAAGAAAATTGTATAGATTTGAAAATGCAATTTACAATAGAATCCAAACTTATTTTTCTTTTTAAATTTGTATTAAATTTAAATATATTATAATATTACTTAAACTTTCCAGAATATTTTTATAACAAACATATTTTAAAAAAGAGATCTTTTTGGACTGTATAATTAAATTACAATCTAAAATACTAAAAACTATTATTTTAACTCGGTCAACAAAGTTTTGCTTAACGAAGTGATTTCTTGAAACACATCTTATCTAACTTAACGTAAGGTATGACAATGATATTTCAATGAGAGGATTTACGTAAACCTTTTAATAATTGATGACTTTCATAACTTCTCAACTACAATGGTAAGAGGAAACTTCATATCAATAAATCTCCTTTTACAAATATAATAGAAATATTGTAAAAATATGATCGTTTTGGATTGTATAGAATTCTAATTGAATTACAATCTAAATGATTCTGGTTATACCATTATTTTACCTCTGACAACGAAAATTCGCTTAACGAAGTGATTTATTTTAAATACATCTTATTAGTTATTTTATTGATTTTTAAATGAGAAGAGTAAAACTCTTACTAATTGATGACTTTCAGAACTTATCAAGTACAATACTAATAGGAAACGTACTATCAATTAAGAGTTGCTATAAAGATCAAGTATAATTGAAGTCAAGAAAGTGCGAATCCTTTATTTCTTCTTTCACAAATATAATAGAAATATTCTAAAAAAAATATCTTTTGGGATTTTATAGTATACTCATTGAATAACTATCTAAATAAATTTAATATACTGGCCATAATATTTTTTTTACCTCTGACAACGAAGTTTCGCTTAATAAAGTCATTTCGTGAAATTCATCTTTTTAGGTATGATATTGATGTTTCAATGAGAAGAGAACGTAAAGCTTTTACTAATTGATGACTTTCAGAACTTATCAAGTAGAATAGTAATAGGAAACGTACTATCAATTAAGAGTTACTATTAAGATCAAGGGTAATCGAAGTCAAGTAATTGCGAATACTTTGCTTCTCCTTTTACAAATATAATAGAAATATTGTATAGTATACTAAATTAATTTTATATTCTGGGCATAGGATTTATTTCCCTCTGACAACGAAAATGAAGTGATTACTTAAATTGTATCTTATTAGGCATGATATTTAGTTTCAATGTGAGTTATGTAAACCTTTAACTAATTGATGACTTTCAGAACTACCCAAGTACAATAATAATCAATTAAAAGTTGCTTCCAATATCAAAGATAATCGAAGTGAAGTAAGTGCGAATCCTTTGCTTCTTTTTTTACAAGTCTATCAAGCAAAGCCGAAGAAAGCCTCGAGAGGAACTGGAAGATCCGATCAATACTGACGATGTAAACATCGCGTGTATTTTTTTTTGTTTATGCAAATTGCAATTCCTCTAAAAATTCAATTCGAGATAAAAGGGCGTGGGAGAGGTCGCGCCGCCATCGACGAACCGGCCGGAAGTAACATAAGCGGAAATAGTTTTTAAGATGTCGCCGGGATTGGATTAAGGATTTCTGCTGCCGCTGGATGAGGAGATCTCGCGGCTGTTGGAGCAAAACTTTATGTACATCGTTCAATAAGAAATTTGTCAGAAAGTTCGTCGGTTAAACGGCGATCAGTTAAGCGAAACAAACTGGGTAAAAAGATAGTGAGTCGGAGATGCGAGAGGCGTATGAGACAGAGAGAGAGAGAGAGGAGAGTTTAGGTCGATGGTCGGGGAATCCGGAAGAGAGTAAAAGCAAACCAGAGGAGACCTCCGTCTGAAAACACCCACCCTCACACATTCACATCTATATGTATATGTATATATATATATAAACACACACATAAAGAGAAAGAGCGAAAGAGGGAAGAGATATAATTCCACTTTATAAATCTTCTCACGTAAAAAATCTCAAGTGGCCAATTCATTTTAACAAGATAAAGCAATTACAATTTTTCAAAACGTCCGGGATGTCGGAGGGTCTGGGTAGGTCCTGGGAGGACGTGACGTCTGAAATTGCAGCAGGCCAAAAATTAAACGGCAACTACACATTCACATACACATCGTTTCCCTCCCCGTCTGTATCCAGGCAGTCAAACATAATTAAGGTCAAGCATCTCGTCGAGGAAGAGGTAGCAGGAACGGTTACAAGGTAATCAAATTAAGTTTAGTCAAGAATTATGACCGTCCTCCGGCTCCCATTGTTCTGCGAAGAAAGCCATACACACGCCATTTTGAAGCGAAAGAAACATCAATTGTTCAACTTGTCATATAATATGGTTGAAATATGACTCTACTTGTTTCATCGTTGAAAAGGATCTTCGTAACAACAGCAGTTCATTTTGAACATTCATATTTAGATACAAGAAAAGTATTGTTCAAATTTACCTTCAGGTAAATTTTAGTTAAGCTCATCTGCATTTCTTGTAATTAATTATTTTTTATAAAATTTCGTTAAT